ATCATAAGTACAGTTCTCTTTCTTTCTCCTCCTATCCTCCTTCCATCCCTCTATAATTTTCTATGCCTCCCCCTCCCTGTTCCCATTGCCCCCATCCCTGGACTCCTTCCTCTTTTTCATTTTGATAATGGTTTATTAACTGTCTTTGAGGTTACCCTGTAATTTGTTTTCTTCTCAAATTTAAAACAGTCTGTTTTACCTTGAAACCTTTCTGACTTCCTCGCCATTTGGAAATTTTGTAACTACGCTATTTATTCCCTCATTTTATTTGTAATTGTCATGTGTACAAATTAATGTCTTTGGTTCCTTATTTCCATGTGGATTTTCTATATCTGTATTGATTTCTGGGTGTTGCTGTGATGTATATGAACCTCAGGTTGTTGTATATCATTATTGGGTGGTTGGTTCTCTATCCAAGAACTCCCTTTAGTATATTTTGTAAGGTTTGCCTGGTTTTCACAAATTCCTTCAATTTGTCTATCTGTATGTGTCCTATTTTTGTTAACATTTGAGCAACAGCTTTGCTGAATACATAATTCTAGGCTGGCTTTTTTTTTTTTTTTCTTTCAGAGTCTTATATATGTCATCTCATTACCTTTTTGCCTGCCTGGCCTATGCTGAGAAATCAGGGCTTATTCTTGTTTGAAAACAAATAGGACAATGATATATTTAACTAACAGCAATCTTACTGAGTATAAATGATCTAAATATGTCAACTGAAAGGCAGAGACTGTCAGAGTGGATGAAAAATCAAGACTCAACTGTATAGTGCTTATAAGAAACATACTGTAGTTAAAGATATAAATAGACTAAAGTTGAAAGGATCAAAAATGATATATTATGCTAAACTTTTCAAAAGGAACGTGGAGCTGATATAATATTTTCTAATAATATACTTTTGATATATTATCAGAAAGCATTATACAAAGAATAGTACCTTGGATACTGACAGTAATTTCATAATAATGAAAGTGTCAAATAATTAGAGGTCATAATAATCCTTAAGGGTTTACACATCTAATAACAATTTCAAAATGAATAAAGCAAAATTTTATAGCACTACAACGAGAAATAGATAAATCCCCAATTCTAGTCAGAAATTCCAATACCATTCCCTCAATAATTAACACAAGTCAGACAGACACCACTATTAAACAATTTCAAAAAGAAAGTACACACTCAGAATATTTTAAACTGAAAGAATGCAAGAAAATATTAAGTCTTGAGTTGCAATATTGAAAGACTCTGTAGGCAGAAATATTGGATGCTGCCAAAAGCATCAAAAGAAGATGGAAAGAATACAATCATTGTACCATTCAACCATTTCAGGAGGTAGTATATGAGCAAGAACCAACAGTACTAAAAGAAGTACAAGTTGCACTGAAAGCATTAGCCAAAACAAGCTCCTAGGAATTGATGGACTACCAATTGAAATGCTTAACAAGCTGATGATGCGCTAGAAGCCCTCACTCTTCTATGCCAGGAAATTTGAAAGACAACTGCTTGGTCACTTGACTGGAAGAGATCCATATTTGTAACCATTCCAACGAAAAATCACCCTTCTGTTGTTGTGCGTATTATAGAACAATATCATTTTTTTCGTATGCTAGTAAAATGTTAAAGATTATTTTCTGCAGCAGTACATTGACAGGGAGATTCCAGATGTTCAGGCCATATTCAGAAGACATGGAACATGGGATCTCAATGCTAATGTCTGATGGAGCTTTGGCAGAGACTACCAGAAAGGTGTTTACTGGTGTTTTATTGGCTATGCAAAGGCATTTGACTGTAGGATCGTAACAAGCTGTGGACAACCTTGAGAAGAATCGGAATTCCAGACCACTTCATTGTGTTTGTATGGAACTTGTTCATGGATGCAGAGAAGGTGTGTGAACAGAGCAAGGGAATACTGCATTGCTTAAAAACAGGAAAGGTGTGCATCAGGGTTGTATCCTCTCACCATATTTATTCAATCTGAATGCTGAGAAATCATCAGAAAAGCTGGATTATATGAAGAAGAATGCAGCATCAAGATTGAAGGAAGGCTTATTAAGCTGTCACATGCAGATGACACAACTTTGTTGAACGTTAGAAGAATTTGAAGAACTTGCTGATGAAGATCAAGGATTGCAGCCTTTAGTATGGATTACAACTCAATGTAAAGAAGACCTAAATCTTCACAACTGGCAAACAAAGAGGTGATGTCATGATAAATGAAGAAACTATTGAAATTGTCAATGTTTATGGAAGCAGCAATCATGAGAATGATGCACATTGTAATTGTTATTAGGTGCCATCAAAGGAGTTCCAAGCCCTAGGGACCCTATGCACAACAGAACAAACGACTGCCCAGTCCTGAACCATCTTCACAATTGCTCCTATTCTTGAGCCCATTGTGGCAGCCACGGTGGGTGTCAATTCAACTCCTGAGGACTTTCCTCTTTTTCACTGCCTCTCCACTTTACCAAGTATGAGGTCTTTCTCCAAGGACTGGTCTCTCATGATAACCTGTCAAAGATGGAATCTGCTGCACAAGACCACTCTAAAGTGTTGAAAAGCAAGGAGGTTATTTTCAGGACTAAGGGACACTTGACTTAAGCACTAGTGTTTTAAATGGCCTCATATGTGTGTGACAGTTGGGCACTGGGTAAGGAAGACTAAATGAAAATCAAAGCCTTGAACTATAGTTTCTGTGAAGAATATTGAAAGTACTACTGACAGCTAAAGGAACATAAAAATCTGTCTTGGAAGAAGCCATAGTGCTCCTTAGAGGCAAGGATGGTGAGACTTCTCAAGGGCAGGGAAAATAGAGGAAGGTCCTCAATAGGCTGCAAGAGGTATTGACATAATGGTTGCACCAATGGTCTCAGACCTAAGAACAATGTGAGGCTTGAGGGTTGCTCTGAGTGTGAATCAACTGGATTGCGCATCAAAACAACAATAACATCAAACAACTTGACCTAATTCATAAACACTGTGAAGTCACTTGACCTTTGTAGAACATTCCACCCGACGATATTCTTTTTAAGATCGCTCAATCTTTGTTCGATAGATACTATTATTACCTCCATTTTACAGAAGCATGACAGTGCAAAGAATGTAGGCAACCTGCTGAAGATAACACAAATACTAAGTGTCTTAACTGAGCTTTGAGTTCAGGTTATCTGACCCCAGACTCTTCATTAGACTTCTTTGAGCACCTGGACTATCTCAAGTCTCAGTGAAAACTCCTATCAGTTAGAATGAAATTCCTTTTACATAAACAAAGGAATAGGCTACTCAAGCGGCATTCTCTAAATACTCCCTGGAAAAGAAGCATGCTCCCCCTCCCCTCTCATATTCCCACTCCACTCAAAGGGCCTGTCTATTTCCTTTAACTGACTTGACTTATAGGTACCATACACTCAAGTCCCACACTCACTACCAATGAAAGACAAGACAGTTGCTGACTATATGAGGCTCGTGGGCGCTAGTTCTTTCCCAGGCTGCTTTGTGTTAAATAGTGGTCTCATGTATGTTTTGAACCTGCACCAAGATACCCCTTTTGTGGCTTTAAAGTCCAGAGTCCAGGCAACCCCTTTCCCAGGAAGGAAATGTAGGTTTACTTACATGAAGCACAGGATCCTTAACTCATGGTTGACTTTCTTGGCCTACCCCCTTATCTCTCTAATATTAATAATAAAATGTACATCGTAATTACAACACGGAAAAACGTTGCAATCTTTTCCAGGGTGAGGTTTCCTCACTTATTGGCAAGAAAATGCCATGGAAGGGAACACCTTTTTTTGGTATGATCATTGGCTGCGAAGACAAACGCTGTTTCATGGCAGGAAATGTGAAGTGAGGGTAGGATTCTGTCTCCCTCCGCTACAGGATTCCAACTGCTCAGCAAACAGTAATCTGGATAATAATAATAATTTAAAAATGTTTTTAGAAATCTATTTCTCCTCCATATACACTCATTGATATGGCTATTAATATAAATTCTCATCCGCCCCACATTTTCAGTCCCGTCTTGCTATTTCCTCCTCCTTATCTTCACTACTGGGCTGCCATCCCTTGTTCACATGCAACTTCTTTCTCCTCAACAAACTTTCCTAATTAGAATCGCGGACTCCCCAGTTCCTGCCGCGTCTCCCATTTCCCCCTCACAGCCCTTTCCTTTTCCTCTGGCTCCCTGCACATCCAGCTCTTTGCTCCACTCTCCCTGAGGCGATCAAAGGGTGATAAGGGGGGGTGCAGGGCAGCCCAGAGGCATTTCCAGCTCCCTCTCCTGGCAGGGTGGAGTTGTGGGCTGCAAGTCCGAGATTATTGGGATGATTGGGCGGTGGCCTCTTGGCTTCTGGGGGGAATTATGAAAGAGGTGTCCGCGTCGTGCACATCCGAAAGAGAAAATCCCCTTTGTGCGATTGCGTGTGGTGTCCCCGGTTTGGGTCTTCGCCATTGTTTACATGAGGGGGGGCGTTCTTACGTGGGCCACCGTTGGAGTGGAGCTGACCCTGCAGGCGCTCGGCGGGCACTGAGTTGACCCTGAAATCAGCAGAGGGGGGACTTACCCTCGGGGCGGGGGCCTCCCGAGCAGGGGCCGGGGGAAAGCAGCCGGCCAATCAGCAGGCGCGGCCCGGGCAGGGTTCCCCTCCTCGCGCGCCCCCAGCCGCGGCGCTGGAAAGTTGGGAGCCTCAGTCGCTGGCCGGCGGTCACGGCGGCGGCGCGAGGGCAGCGGGACTCGGCCGCGGCGCCGCGGGGCTCACAGGCGCCCTCGGGCAGGCACCCTGCGCCCGGCGCGCACCCCCACGCGCGACCCTGCGCCCGGCGCCGCGGGACGGACGAAGCCGCGTCTCGACGAAGCTGCCGCCGCGCGTCCCTGCTCAGCCCCCGGAGGGGCTGCCCTTGGGTGCCGGCGCCCCGTGGGACTGCCAGCTCCCAGCTGGGTTTTGTTAGCTCCTGGAGACTTCCCGAGTCGGATGAGTTCCTCTGAGAGGAAGCCCTCTGCCTGGTCTTGAGGAACCAGGCTAAGCACGGGGCTCTGGCGCTCAGAACAAAAACAGAAAAAGAAAAAGAAAGCGAGAAACATGATTGCCTGGGAAATTGTGCACACGGTCTTCTTGTTCATGCTTCTTTATTCTTCCCTAGCCCAAGATGCGAGCGCCCAGTCTGAGAGCGGGGCGGAGGACATTCCGGAGGGCGCCTCCACCTTGGCTTTTGTGTTTGATGTGACTGGGTCTATGTACGATGATTTAGTTCAGGTGATCGAAGGGGCTTCTAAAATTTTGGAGACGTCTTTGAAAAGGCCTAAGAGACCTCTTTTCAACTTTGCCTTGGTGCCTTTCCACGATCCAGGTAAGGGAAATATTATTCTTTGTATTTGTTATTCCTCACGATTACAGGCTTTCAAATGCTATGAAATTGTTTCTATGTCACTTTCCATCTCCCCTTCTTTGTAATGAGCAAAGGAACCCAGTTCTAACAAAGAGTGGCATACTGGGTTTACTCTCTGATACCTACTCTTGAATTGGAGTAAAGAGCTTGTTTGGGGAGCTTGTATCGTGGTTTCCCAAAGTTTGGACTTTAGGAAAGCCAGAACCCGAAGTTTTAAGCAACTACATCAAAATGATCATTAGTTGTCGTTTCCACCTTCGGTTTAAAGAATTGCTTAATTAAAGAAGGCAAACTTGCACATGAGTGTTCTGCAGCAGGGCTCTGAAAGCCTAACTCCAGGATGAGGGCACCCTGCAGGGGTAACTCACAGAAGGGTGTTTTGTGTGAGACACAAGGAAACTAGTAAGCAATAGCTACTAGTAGAAGGGAAGAGTGAGAGTAGAAGAGAAGCCATTCATTTCTAAACTGTATCTACTCATCTTTGCACGAGGTCATCATTAGTTAGGTTCACCCATGGGTATAAATATAATGGCCATGTCTCATCCAGCAGAAATGCATGTAATTTACTCTGTCTGTGTGCTTTCAAGGTAGTTGAAGCTAAGTAACTCTTGCTTTTTGCCCCCAGCCATGGACTCAGCTGCTCCACTGTAATATGATCATGTCCTGTTACTACCCCCCACCCACTCCTACAGCTTCTCTTTAAAGTGGTACCTTTCTGTGAGGCTCATAGGAGTCCCCATTGTCATCACTGAGGGCAACATGGCAGGGGAAGCCCTGCAGCTTGCTGTCTAGCTAGCGTCCACCTGAGTTTCATTAACACACATTGCTGCTGCCCAGTTGAAGAAATAAAGCAGTGGTTTTAAAAAAATTCCTCTCCCACTCTTCTCCTACATTTTCCCTGCTTTGAAAATTTCTGTCTTTTCTAGAAGACCCGACACAATCTCTTCACGAGCATCTGATATTGAGAATCTGACATTCCTTCCTTGTGCATTTGGCAAACATATATGAGTTCAACTTATTGCCAGGTATTAAATGTGGCAGACTTCTGCTGTTTCAGAAAATGCCACTGGGGGAGGTGTAGAGGGAAATAGAAGCTTCTGGGATTTTCATGTTCTTCATAGGATGTAAATAACATATCCCGCTCTCTCTATTGTGTATCTATGTGGCATAGGGGGTTATGTTGGGGCTGCTGACTGTTAGGTCAGAAGTTTGAAACCACAAGCCACTCCATGGGAGAATGATGAGGCTTTCTCCACCTTTAAAGATTTATTGCCTCGGAAACCCACAGGGACCGTTCTACCCGACCCTATTGGCTTGCTCTGTGTTGGAATAGTCTTAATGACATTGAATTTGGAGTGTGGATATATCATCTATCTATCATCTATCTATCTATCTATCATTTTCTACACTAATTAAACATGAAGTGGTTTCCATATTTGAATAAACAATAGAAAGACTGTTTATTCAGTTTACTGTCCTATTAAAACACCTAATACTTGAATTCATTAAAAGGCAAATTGACAATTGTGATGCAGTGTAGAATTTTTAATCTCTTGGAAGAATAAGAACCCTGCACTTCTCTTTGGATGTGTCTGAAGTTGGCTTAAAAATGAAGTGACATTGTTTTCTTAAATTAACACTAAAAATTGATTTTCTTCCAAAAATATAAAATTAAAATAATAATAAATAAAACCTCTTTGGAAATTATGTTGCTGCAAACAGAACACAGAAATTGCAAAAAGTCGTAAGTGGAAACTGGGCCATCCTGATAGTTTGAAGTGATATGAACAATTATTTGAGTAAATTGTATCATGGTGTGCCGCTTTTCAATTGTTACCAAATGGGAAAGTTTGCACATTGCTGGGGTTGACTTTCCTAAGGTTTAGCAATCATGATTCAAAGTGGGGGAAACTTGGCATGTTAATAGCAGATGACTAATAAATCAGAGCTTTTTTGAATTAAATTATATGAGAAAATGATTAACTTAAATTGGTTCCATAAAATTAACTGTACACATAATTCAGTAAAAATACCAAATCTATTTCCATTGTGGTTCAAAGAAGAATAGCCAATTATGTTATTTTAGACTACATTTAAAATCTTCGGGATGATTAAGAGGGATATAGTAGGTAAAGCACTGTATTAACATTTAACTTAATTTTCTAATGCATGCTAACACCAGCATTATTTTCGGATGGATCTGATACTACCCCACTCTCTCTGTGAAATAATTAAGAATTTCTGATTCTTAATTGTTCATTTTTCGTTCTGACTTATCTTCCATTTTGAATGATTCAAAGTTACTTGAGTGCGAGTTGACTCTTTCACTAAGAGATATTACAGAAGTTATTTTGCCTTTTGAATCTCAGTTTCCATACCTATAAAATGAGAGAATTTGCTGTGACCATCTGTAAGACCAATCCCAAGGAGCCCTTGTGATATAGTGGGCTGGGTATTGAGTAAGGTGAGCAGTTTGAAACCACCAGCCTCTCTGAGAGAAAAAGATGAGATTGTCTATTCTTGTAAAGATTTGCTGTCTGCTCTGCCCTGTAGGGTCTCTGTGAGTTGGAATCCGTCTGATGGCAATGAGAGAAGACCAGTCTCCCAGCAAGCATGTTATGACTCAGTGTCTTATTTGTTTATTTCTTTTCCATAGTCCAAACCTAAATTCTTATGACTGGGTGATAAAAGTGACACTTAAAAAGGTGTGTAGGATTTAATTTACTAAATATGATAGTTACCTTGAATTCTTTCAGCTTTCAAAGCCCTTGGCACCTAAGACCACATTTAGCTTACATGAAGTAACAGGAAAATATAGTCAAAGGGTATAGTCTAAGGCATTTGGTTAGTAGCTTTAGACCTTGGTGGAGGATTTCTTTGGACTTCTGTTTTGCATCCATGCTGGGACAAGGTGTATATTTGGAGGTGGAGATTAGGATAGAAATTAAAACAGACACAGAGAATGAAAGATATCTAGTGGAAATGGGATGAGGAACTAATTTCAGAATCTGTGCATCTAGGGAATGAATGCAGTATTGTTGGACCAATGGTTTACCTGCAGTGGGAGGAGGGACTGGGGAAGGGCAGGGGTTTGGGAGCATCAAACCAACCTTATGATGATGTTCTTTTTTTTATTTTTATGATGATGTTCTAAAGATGGTGTTCTACTTTCATAGCCACATTAGTGTGTCAATTTGTTTTTTTTCAATACTCAAAACACATTCTGATCTTCCTCCTTTCCTCATCTGAGTCTCTTCTTTCAGCAAAGAGGTGCAACAGGCAGAAGGGGCCGAGTGTTTACTGACTTAATTTATAGAAATAAAACTTCTCTTTCATCAGTGTGTTCCCAATTTTACCCCCGGGATATCTTGGGCCAATTTTCACTCACTCTCTCATTATGATTCAGGCATCATTTTAGTGACGGAGCATACGAAAGAGAATGCAAACATTAATATCCCCTAACCTCACGAATTTACAGCCTTTTAGAGGAAGATAAAGATAATAATAATAATCAAACAATAATAACAAAAATATATATGTAGTATGTCTGATGGCTGTCTGGGGAGAGCTGCAATCTGAGGAACAATGAATGAAAAGTCCTCATGACAAGAGCATCCTGATAGGTTCAAAGAGAGGTGGAAGGACCAGGGTGGCTACAGCACCATGAGGGAGAAGTTAGAAGGTGAAGCTAGAGAGATGATTGGGTCAGACAGGAAAGGGTTTGCATGCCACTGTGAGTGTGGCTTTTACTCTGCGGGAGATAGGAGCCAAGTTAGGGTTTGGAGGAGGGCAGCGACTGATCTGATTTATGCATTCACATGATCTTATCCGGTTACTTGAGAATCAAGTGCAGCAAGGGCATGAGCCTGGAGAATAGAAGATTATTGCAATAATTCTGAAAGTGGTTGATGGTGTATCTTGAGTCAAATTTGTAGCTCTAGAAATTCTGAGGTATAGCTGGAGTCTGTATGTTTTGAAGTTAAATCAAAAAACATTTGCTAATGGACTGGATGTGTGGTATGAGAAATAAACAATAAACAGATGGCAAGCTAGATTCTGACTTGCACAACTAGAAATACAGAAGAATCAGGTACTACCAGGAAAGACGAGTCAGAAATTGGTTTGAGAAGGGGATTGAGGCTTTTATTTATTTATTTTTTTAAACATTTTATTAGGGGCTCATACAACTGTTACCGCAATCCATACACACATCAATTGTGTAAAGCGCATTTGTACATCATTCTCAAAACATTTTCTCTCCACTTAAACCCCCGACATTAGGTCCTCATTTTTCCCCTCCCTCCCTGCTCCCCCCTCCGTCATGAGCCCTTGATAGTTTATAAATTGGTATTTTGTCATATCTTGCCCTGTCTGACGTCTCCCTTCACCCACTTTTCGGTTGTCTGTCCCCCAGAGAGGAGGTCACACACAGTTCCTTGTAATCGGTTCCCTCTCTCCTACCCATTCTCCCTTTACCCTCCCTGTTTCGCCACTCACACCACTGGTCCTATAGGGCTTATCCACACTGGATTCCCTGGATTTTCCATTCCTATCTGTACCAGTGTACATCCTCTGGTCTAGCCAGACTTGCAAGGTCGAATTCGAGTCATGGTAGTGGGAGCGGCTTGAGATGCCTTTTGCCATCCATAAGGAAATTGGTCAGATGAGATTCACGTTCAAAAGAGGCTTTTGGGTAAGAAATGTGTCTTTGGGATCCAAAGGTTGGTATGCAAATGGTATTTAAATCTGTGAAACTAGATGACACCATTAAGGGGTTGATTATACACTGAGAGTGGTCAACCCCCAGTACTGCAATGGTCAGAGGTCAGAGAGATAAGATGAGCTACCCAACAGCCAGAGAAGTGGAAGCCAGGAAGGGGGAGAAAATCACATTACCCTAGAAGTTATAAGAATAAAATGTTACAAGGAAGCAAACATTGAGAAGAGCAATGTGGAAGCCA